AAGCAAAACAATGTGACCACTGATAGATATGAAATACTGTTCATGGTATAGATTTACCTAATCAAACTTAATGGCCATCTCATATATGCATTTTGTTCTGCTTGACTATTTTATAGTAAAGATATAAAGTCTATAACATGTATACCTTATTTTCATGTGCATTCTGTTTAAAATGATAATATTTAAATACAATGAACTAATACTCAACCTGCAGAAAAAACAAATACAACAAGGAAAATTTGTGAAGATAGTGTAGCAGATTTAAGTTGTTATTGTGGAAGAGTTTTTGTCACATATGCTTTTTATGGTACAACTCCACATAACCCATGCACAAACACCGGAAGACACTGTGGGAGAGATGTAACATTGAGTACAAGACGTGAATGTAAGAACAAACCTTCCTGTAGGGTTAAAGCATTAAACGGCTGGTATGGAGATCCGTGTCAGGATACAGTGAAATACCTTGAAGTGTCATATAACTGTGTTGGAGGTTTGTACCACGAAAAGGTCACCTTAATTTCTAAACAATTTGTTCATTTAAAAATTCAAAAATTGAACTACAAAAGAGAAACGGATACACTGTATTATTAAATATTACTTTATTTGTTTAGAAAACAAGAACTAAATTGATAAGACTCGGATGCAAATACGTTTCAAATTTCAAGGACGGTCAATAACGATCTATAGTTAAAAAATGCGTTTTTTTGTAATCGATGCTCATTCTGTCTTAAAGTTTTTATGTGTTGCCCTCGGTTTAGTTTGTAACCCGGATTTGGTTTCTCTTAATCGATTAATGACTTTTGAACAGCGATATACTACTGTAGACTTTTATTTTACAGACGCAAGTCACGGTTGTAAACTCTGAAAACAATCATTAAGAATATTTTATTTATTTGCTCTCACCTTTTACTTCAAAAATATTTTATCCATCTTGGTTACAAATTATTATCAAATAAACTCAAATGATTCATCGACTATTTTTCAATCATATCGATACATATTATGCTCATTTATCATTGTTTTACCAGGTTCATTTCTCCCAAAACCAGCAAACTGTAAAGACGCTGTTTGCCATACTAGTAACAGTGTATGGTGTTCCAAATGTATCGACAATAAACTTTTTAAGCTTGTTTCTGGTACCTGTCAACGTAAGTATTTAAGATTTTTAATTGTCATCTTTAAATATCACATGCAACCACTCACCAAACCACTGCATTCGTTCGGTATATCCATACATTCGACAAAGTGTTCGTAACGGTAACAAGTATTACAGCTGACTCGCAAATAAAATGTTACCCAAAAGACAAGTGCAAGGTCAGTATTTAATCCAATTTATTTATTTATAAGAAAAAATATTGGAGACAATAACAGGTGTCAAAAAGTTTTAACATTATTATGATTATGGCCAGCATTTGATAACAAATCAACGTTTACCTACTCATCGTTTTAACAAATTTAAAAGAAAACCAGATTGCTGTTCAACTTTTCAATGACATACAAAGTTTAAACGCATATAGATTTTTCATAATATGATTGACATAATAAATTAATTTTTCTCTGAATAAAGAAGAACTTATTTTCAATATTTGTAATAGCATCTTTCATTCCTTTACAGTGGCGCATTCTCAATGTTTGCAAAATCTTAACCTTTATCTAAATTATATATTTTTAATCATGACCAGACACAGCCTATTAGTAATCTTGGTGTTTCCGAAACTTCCTCTAAAGTGTTACTATAATTTTATAAATGGTCAATTGGTGTATTTTGGGACTAAAATTATATGATTTATTTCTTTTTACTTTTTTGGCAAATAGATCTATAACAGTTCAATTTCAATATCAATTTTTCTGAAATTTAGTTTTCTGATGATTTAGTCTAATCACTTATGGTATATCACAATCAAAATACATGTTGTACGTTGCCTTATCTTACACGATAAGTTATAATTGTAAATTAACATACACTTGAGAATTGAAACGGGGAACGTACCAAAGAGACAATAACCCGACTTAAGAACAGAAAACAGCCCACGACCACCAATGGGTCTTCAACACAGCGAGAAAATCCCACAGAAGGTGGCGGACTTCAGCTGCCCCTAAATAATGATATATTCTAGTTCAGAGAAAATGGACGTCACACTAAACTCCGAAACATATAAATGAACAAAAATTAAAAACAAATTCAAGACTAACAAAGGCCAGAGGTTTCTGACTTTGGCCAAGTGCAAAATACTTTATCATTAATACAATCGCTTTTCGAGAAAAAAAAAACCCTCAGTAACACATTACCTGATTCATCTGACACAAAATCAATTGAGTTTTAAATGCAATACTAGAATGTGATCATGAATGATTTTAAACGTATGTTTGTCTTTGAAATTTCTTATGGTTACTAGTATGTGTCACATTTGGGGGTTTCTTCAAACTTATTGAAGTTTTCGTGCGCAGATTGCCAGTATTTTGACAAACATTTGTAGTTTCTGATTTCTTTTACCTTTGATTATACAACGATTTGTTTACACAGATTTTGAATTTTAAATGTATTAAGTTGCATATACGATCCGATATCATAAAATTCTTCTAAGACGTTTTTACCACTGCATTCGATGATTCAAAATGACGACCGTAAATACTGCCACTACAATTACGAAAATTTCAGCAATCTACAATAATCCTGTAAACCAAAATCTTAAGATGGGAATTCGGCTACTATTTTGATGAAAAAAAGACTGAGGACAACACTGAACAAAACTATGTACAGAACACAAAAGAATGTGCAGCACGTTATATAGTTTGCATGATCAGTAAAAACATTCACGTTTAGAATAATATGCAAAACATATAGATCATTGATATTCAAGATTCAGTTGCAGTGGGTGAATCTTTTATTCTTTTTTTATTTGCTTTTATTGTTTATTGTCAACATCAATTGTATAAAGGGAAATATCGTCGAAATACCACACGGTACAACAGATCACACCATCCACCAAAATCCGAATACAACCGTACAAAAAAAGACAAACAACATATGGTAAAAAAAAATTGCCCGATTTAGTTCAAACTACTATATGTTGAATTGTTAAACCGGTTTTACGTACGCATTGCCCTACCATCACACATTTGCCTTTGTGTGCAATATGTATTGAAATGAAATTCAAAATCTACGCAAAATTCAAATTAATGCGTTGCGTGTATTTATTATTGAGATTGTTGACTTATAGACAACAATGCAAGATTTATTAATGCGATTGCAGGAAAACCTGCACAGAGATCTATGTAATGGATATCATAATGCGTATTCTTATTATTGCTATTCATACACAGACGCATTATTCGCATTTATAAAACACTCGCAATAATTTCTGAATTCAACGAGTTTAAACGAGGAAATAAAATACAACAACGCAGTACATTATTTTTAAAAAGCAGGTTCAAATATACTTGATACTATAGGAAGCTAGATAAGTAGTTTCATCTGCTCGTTAGACAATGCGTTCAAGGAAACAAAAAAGTCAGTTGTACCTTGGTATTACGACAATTGATTTCAATTTTAAGACCGCTTTTTGTTTTATTAAAAATGAATGCCACTTTTATAAACACATAAAATATACCAGGCTGAGAAATTTATTACAACAGACGCAAATTTCATTTATAGTTGTCTCATCATTGGCACGGAATTTAAGAGAGTTAGAAAGTCAACTCAAATAGGAACTTGAAAAATAACGCAAACCGAAAAATCCGAAATGTTGTGGCAAATACGGCTGCTTAGTATAGCAATAAAAGTGTACGTTGCTGTACGCGTCAGAATTTCTGCGTTCAAATATGATACTTATTTTGGACGATGCATTTCATTTTAGGTACATGTTCCTGGGAAAATAGATGGTGTTGGCCTGGGAGGTGTAATAGTGACCTTGCATCAGGATGCATGTGCAGCATTGGATTTCGCACAGATAAAGATTCGACTTCAGCAAAATGTCAACGTAAGAAGAAAATATTTTTTACATGAGTAAAATTATTCCCGTGCCAAATACTAGTACAAATTATACTATTACTGTCTTGTGATGAGATAAATATGTGGTTTTATCGAATTTTGAAAAAAAACTGATATTCACTGAGGCATAGGGCCCTCAGTTTTTAAAAGGTCAATTAAACCCCATATATACCGAAAAAAAAATACAGAAATTGTTTTAATCTTTATTCCGAGAGAACACATGCATTGAATGACAATTGTTTACCAAAACCAATTGTACATCATACGATTTTATCATTATTTTACACGTAAAAGCTAGCGACTTTTTGCGATGTGAATACTTTTTTCTCAGGTAAATATGCTGTTTTGTTATATGACTGTAAACATTCTCTTTTCTCATTGTCTAAAACCATAAAAAAAAATCTTTCTTGACAAAACATTATATTCACCTCGGGAAAAATCATGAGAGGATAATATAAGATTTCAAACAGGTAACGAGTACAAATAAATAAAGTTATTTCAAGGCAACGTCAATCACGTAGGTTTATGACGTCAAGCAATCTTTCATTTTTCCCTCTTGTTTACAATGTATTTTTTTTTTTATTAAATTTAATTGAATATGCAACTTATAAAAAGCTATCAACTGTAAAAGCAGATGAAATATAAATCTTTAACAAGATGCAGTTAAATATCATGAGCAAAAACAAGAATATTAGAGACCGAAAAATAAAGTAATATAATAAACAATTGTTGACCGTTGGCCACGGTGAATATCTTATATCTGGGGTTGTAAAATCATTAAATTAACCTTATCAAAAGTCAATAATATTGTGTGCTATCCAAAACGCAATTCATATTTTTAAAAAAAACCCTACTAAAATTGTACATATATGGAATAACTTTATTATTTCACAAAGTTATCATGAAACATCATTTGCATGGTGTATGCATTAAGTCGACAGTAGTTTATCGATTTTCAAATCTCATAAAGGACACACACATAAAAACTTTACAAACAAAATCTGAGGGAATGGCATTAACACGAGACTGGATACTTCGACAAGGTGAGTATAAACATGTTGATATCATTGAAAAGAAGTAAAACGACAACAAATAATAAGCAATAAAAAGTTAAGAAATTAATAACAAGGCTGTTAAAAGACTATAGATGATTATTATAATCAGAACCCTATTTTAATTTAATAACATATAGAATCATTCAATATACAACCGTGTATTTACACATGACATTACTGTATAAATGTACCGCTAGAATTTTAAAAAGAATTAACTAGTTTTCCGATCAACTTTGTCAACTACCTTTTTTGCAGCTGAAAGAAAACCATCAATAGAAAGCTGTCGCACAAGAGCAATCGCAGCTGATAGAACCGAAGTTGCTTCAAATATGGGTTCTACCAAATGCTCAGATCAGAAAAATTTCTTTGGCAGAAACCAAATTGATCACTTCATAGTTGATTTGAATTTTGATTTCACAATTAACATCAGCATGTCCCCGAAACCGGCATTTGTACTAAATGAACTGTTCGGAATAACGGATGTAGACGTAGTGTTAGAAAAAATAACAGTTACAGGTAATGTTTTACAATAAAAACATCATTGTAGTAATTCACCACAAAAGATATGAAAACCATCGAGAAATAATCTTAAGCGTCCTAAATCGCCCTGGAATTGTTCTTGAAATAATATTTAATTGACTTCTTTGTTTTTCACATTTTTCATTAAAGAATTTGAACAGACAATTAGAGTTAAAAAATGTATTCATCAATTGAATATTAATGTAAATAGTTTATAAAAAGTTGTATCTAATTAATTGTTCTAGGAAGAAAACATTTAGTTGGTACTACACAAATTAAAAATGATGATCCATCCATCCCAGAACCAAGCTATAACGCGAAAAATTTTGAAATACCAGTGCATGTCAATTTGACACAAGGAGAAAGGTAATACAAATACACAAGGAGAAAGGTAATAAAAATACACAAGGAGAAAAGTGATAAAAATAAACAAGGAGAAAGGTAATAAAAATACAATTAGATATTTCATACCAAAGTTATTTAAACAAAATCTTCAAATACCAGGCTTGCAATGTTTTACTCTAGTAGCGCGAATCATCAGTGATGCTCGAATCAAAACAGTTTGATGACCAAATAACAATTCGACATTGAGGAGCATTCAAATCATAAAATTCAAAAAATGGTTGTCCACATAAAAGAGGGGAGAAAGATACCAGACAGGCAGTCAAACTCATAGATTAAAAATAAACTGATAACGCCATGGCTAAACAAGAAAAAGACAAACAGACAAATAATAGAACACAACAAACAACAAAAAAACTAAACTAAGCAACACATAAGGCTTAGGCAAATAGTTGATCTGAATATAGAAAACCTCTCTGAATCTTCACTATTAAAGCCGTTGTGAATTTTTGTTTAATCAGAATATTTTGTTCCAGTTTAGATGTTTTTAGCAACTCAAGGACTTTTCTAGGGACGAGAGAGTGTATAATTGTGTGAAGTCTACATTGATTGCCTTAGCCGTATTTGGAAAACTTTTCCAAATTTTGGCTTTTAATGCTCTTCGACTGTAGCTACTTACTTGATTGGGCCTTTTTAACTGTTATGATTCGAGCGATTAGTCCTTTGTAGACGAAACGCGCGTGTACCAAATTACAATCCTAGTATCATTGTTCAGTTTTTATCCGACTTTTGATTTTCAGTTCATTGTAGCTTCTTCCTCTTACAAACGGAATTTACAATAAACATCCTTCTCTTTTCGGGTTTTGGTAATTTGTTGTCTATCTGTCACATTAACACGACTTTATTATTGTATAAATAATACATTTTTGTATTTTTACTTATGTTTTAGTTTATGCTTGACTTATCGTGCCAAAGGTGGAGGATATCTTACATCAAAGAACATGACCATGACCACGCCCAAAGTAAAACAAATACTATATGAAAAAACTGAAAAATCTAGGCAACTTTGTTACATCTATGACAGGGAACCACCAGTATTTTGTCCAAAAAGTGATAAAGGTCCAGTTGAACCAATTACACTTTCAAAACGATTAACCACGTCAAGTCACATAACAGTGTCATTTCGTGGTTGGTCTGATAATGAATCATCGGTACTTGCATCTGGAATAGAATCATATGCAATAAGTGTGTTTGAAGTTAAAGATGCTACTCCTGAAATGTTATTGAGGGATATAACTGCTGTTGCAGGTCCATACAACTGTTCGAAAGACATTACAGAAGTTGATATACAATTACCAGAGAAAAATCCAATGTTATACGCCGTTTTATTGGAAGTGAAAGACAAAGCAAACAATGTGGGATATGCTAGGCGATTTGTACTGTACGACAATTCCTCATACATAGTGAAGAATGATAACATACCTTTCAGAGTCGTTTCAGCCTCAAACAAATCACACTTCACGTGGCAGGTGCAACATGGCAGTATCTGTTATTCATGGAAAAATCGATTTTTAAACAACAGATACAAAAAGTCAAATCCACTTCGTCCAATTAAGAGTGAAAACTCAATAGAAGGCATTTACGATCAAATGTCTGGTATTTTACCTGTGACCGGTATGAACAATGTCAACGGTTTGATTGATTTTTTCTTTGCTTTAATACGCAATGCTGGAACTGATGTAGGTTCTGGAAGAGTGATGAATTTTACGTCACAGTCCATTTGTCTCAATCCTAGTATGAACGATGGCGACACATTTTTACTACGTCTCCAAGCCAGAGATATCATGAACCATACACTCAATGATAATATACAAGTTCATATCGACCGATCTGTACCGGAAATAGCTGATATATGGTTAATTCGAAATGAAAAGAAACAGCTGTATGTCCATCATAGTTCGGACTTATCTACCATTTATTTTGAGTTTAAGGCATTCGATTTACATAGTGGAATTCGGGAAATCAAATGGGCGTTTGGTATCTACGAAAACAACACAGTTTTGATAGAAAAAGCAATAGCTGTGGAAGAAACCACCAATTCGGTAAGTACTTGAAATAAACTAGATACCATCATGATTATAAAATAGAAATGAAGAATACATAAGAATATAAAAAAGTTTATAAACTCATAAAACATACCAGGATTAAAATGGTGTACGCCAAAATTCCGAAAGGTTCTACCAACATACCGTTAAGATATTGGCTTAATGCAATTGTATTTTGTTATCGACTTTACGTTTTAAATTCACACATTCTTTCTGCATTACATTCCTTTACAACTAACAATGAAAATATCAAGTCATATTTGATTAATTAGTAATTTATCAGTAACAGTTTAAAAGGAATACTAGTAGTTTAGTTATTAATGTGAATAATACACAATTATGATAACCACCCAACGACGTCACAAACACAAACATCAACACTGGATAGTGCCTTTTATCTTGAACTTTCCTTACTTAACTACATTAAGTAGATTTAGAAAATCGCAAAATGAAATTGCCTTGAATGTCTTTAAAATGGCTAAACGCGAAATAAAGCATCCGTAAAATAAGATTTTCAGTAATGTCGCCGTAGCTATTTATCAGAAGAGTACAGCTATATACTAGTACTACACTTCATGTGATGTGTACTATGTTTACTACCTTTTACGCATTCATACATTCATTCATTCATTAATTTCAATACATAAACAATATCAATTATTTTAAAACAAATTAACTGTTATTTTACGCTGTCTGAATAAAAAGAAATACACTGTTCGGTTTATCTTTATCTTGAACACGTGATATGTCAATTTCTAGTTGATCCTCATTGAAATGTTATAAGAAGTCGTAATTAATCCTACGGTTGAGTAGATTTGTAGTAAAACAAAATAACAAATGAATATAAAAAAGAAGATGTGGCATGATTGCCAATGGGACAACTCTCCACAAGAGACCAAATGACACAGACATTAACAACTATAGGTCACCGTACGGCCTTCAACAATGAGCAAAGCTCATACCGCATAGTCAGCTATAAGTTCACTTCATAATCAATACATAATATACGGATATACTGATAAGCACATTATATGTAGTATTCACAAACTTTTTAATATGTTAGATTTATACATGTTCACATGAAACAATTCACAAAACTTTCTAAAAAGGTATGCGCTAAACACTGTAGAAATTAGACTTTTGCGTACCTTGTTACACGGAACACATTAAAAATAAACTATTGTAATAAAATATATGAAAATAGTGGAATAAACTATTTTTGGAGTGTAAAAAATTCTTTGGATGTTTTAGATAAATTACGTGCTTTTGATGGTCCTTTTGATTCTGTTGACAGTTTTGACTTTTCTACTCTTTACACTACACTTCAACACTATCTTATCAAACAAAAGTTTTCCTATTTAATTAAATGGTCGTTTGGTAAATCTGAATGAAAATATATTTGCTGCAACTCATTTAAAGCCTTCTTCTCTAATGAGAAAGGTAAATATGCTAGATATACATACTGGAGATGTGATGAAATGATTGAAGCTGTTAATTTTCTCCTTGATAATATTTATGTACGTTTCGGCAACAAAGTTTATCGACAGATTGTAGGTATTCCTATGGGTACTTATTGCGCCCCTTTAATAGCAGACTTGTTTTTGTACTGTAATAAATCACAGTTTATGACCAAACTTAGTAAAGACCCGTCTAAATTGCATTTAATTGATAAATTCAACAACACTTACCGTTATCTTGATGATATTGTTTCGTTAAATAATCAAGAATTTTGTCAATATATTGCGGACATTTACCCAAAGGAACTTACTTTAAATAAATCAAATTTAAACGGTAATAACTGTCCTTTCCTAATTTAGATATTTCGGTTTTAAACGGGAAACTCCACACTAAAATTTACGACAAAAGGGACAATTTTTCGTTCCCTATTGTTAATTTTTCCTTTTTGGATGGTGATGTTCCTTTGGCACCATCGTACGGTGTTTATATTTCACAACTCGTTCGCTATACCCGTGTCTGTTGTGACGTTTTTGATTTTAACGAACGTAATCTATGTATTACTGGTAAATTATTAAGCCAGGGATTTCGTTACCACAAATTACTTAAAACCTTTACTAATTCTTCCATAGATATAAAGATTTGGTTTTGAAGTTTGATTGTACCTGTAGAAAACTTATTTTAAACGAGTATCACATCCTCATTTTTACGGAAATTTAGAAAGGATCCTGGTAAACTTATCGATCCTTTCAATAAACTTATCCTAAAAGGTTACAAATTCAACACTGTAATTAGATCACTGAATATTGTTTTTATTGTTATTAATATTGGTTTTGTTATCAGTAAATTAAAAGCAAACTAAATATTATTGTTATATACATATACACATTCATGGATCTACAATCTGTCGATACCTGTATCTTGTCATTGCACTAGATCATGTTTTTCTCTGACTGTTTATGACGTCTTTATACTAAATCCATTAGATGTTGGATGTGTACTGATTGATAATTTAGTCTTAGATGCATGATTTTGTTATCATGTTTAACCCCGCCACATTCTCTATGTAGGTGCATGTCCCAAGTCAGGAGCCTGTAATTCAGTGGTTGTCGTTTGTTTATGTGTTACATATTTGTTTTTCGTTCAATTTTTTGTACATAAATTAGGCCGTAAGTTTTCTCGTTTTAATTGTTTTACATTGTCATTTCGGGGCCTTTTATAGCTGACTATGCGGTATGGGCATTGCTCGTTGTTGAAGGCCGTACGGTGACCTATAGTTGTTAATTTCTGTGTCATTTTGGTCTCTTGTGGAGAGTTGTCTCATTGGCAATCATACCACATCTTCTTTTATATATCTCCATAAGAATACAAGATTAGGCCGGCATGTACATTTTTCTCGTCCAACGGTTTTCGTTGTGTTCGTTGTGAGAAACTGTTAATTGACGAAATATGGAGAAGAACTGAGTCAAGTTGACAGGCTATAACCAGACATCTGTATTGTGCCGAATAAAAAACGGACAACGGACTTCATAAACAACAATGGAACATCATGAAGTAAGGATTGCTTTTAATAATCTCGGTGGAATCTCCAAATTGTCACATGGTAAATGGCCACTTGGTTCTAATTAATAGAGCGTTGATAATAGTGACGATAATAAAGTTGCAAACCATTTATTCACACTGAAAATACATAATTATACTAAACATCTATTTCAAATGTTAACTTGAAGTTTCCTTTTAATATGAACTGTGAATTGAATAGAAGTACATGCATTATAAGGCCTACAAAGGTAAATGTGCTTACCTGAAAATAGGGAAAAAGATATATGTCCCATATATAGCTCGTGCGTGCTAAAATGTGAAATTCGCATTAGTACGAGTACACCGTATATATAGTACTAGAAAAAGTGGCGGGGTTGCATGCATTATAAATTCGTGCAGAGTACAACATAGACTAAAGTCTTTTTCTAACTGTCCGTCAATGAATGAATGCATAAATTAATGAATAAATGAATGAATGTATGAATGCGTAAAAGGTAGTAAACATAGTACACACCACACATAGTGTAGTAATAGTATATAGCTGTACTCTTTTGATAAATAGCTACGGTGACAGTAATTCAATATTTAAAAAGTCAAGTTAAAAATGAAATACAGTTTATTTCTAGGTAGATATTATAAAACATGTTAGACCTTACCATGACAAGAACAAATAATAAATATATAACACCATGCAATGACAATAACAGGATAAACCATACCATAAAGTGATATTTACTTCTTATTCAGATGTAGCGGTATAAGCCTTTCTAAATAATAAATTTTTCTTCAATAGAGTTCATGCAACAGTACAACGACTTGTTACTGTCCGATGATTGGTGAGTGTACATCGACAACGTATGTTGCAGAACTGAAGAAGCTAAAAACATTGAAACGACATAACGGAAACCATAACAGGAGATATTTCTTTACCGTGACAGCAACAAACAACGCATTTCTTGTCGCTTACGATCATATAGACATATTAGTTGACGAATCTCCTCCAGATGTAGGCGTGGTTTTGGAAGGTCCAATCGGCAGTCCCGATATAGATTATACGAGTATAAATGAAGTCACTGTTCACTGGCACGGATTAATTGACCATGAGAGTGGTATTAAGTTTTATAAAGTAGCCATTAGTAGAGACTGCATCTACAATTTGAAAGACACGGTGATCGGTAATATTAACGGTTCTATTGTACTAGAAACTAATCATGAATCTACAAAAATGGTCTTTCCAGATGGTCAGGGTAAATACCATGTGACTGTTATAGCTTTTAATAACGCAATGAGTCCTTCAAAGATTGCTTGTTCTGATGGAATAATATTCGATGAAAGTGTTCCTGAAATAGTAAACGTAAGCATTAAACATGCAAAAACTGTAGAATCAATTGGTTGCCACAACGGTGTTCCTTGGCTTATGAAGGAGAATCTGTCAAAAGTTAAACTATTTGGGGATGAATGTAGTAATGTATGTAGAAACAAGAGCAACGACGACATTTTTACTTTACTACCGATTACATTAGAAACTATAAACGAAAACAATGCCGTATCAACATTTTTGTGTCGCACACTTAAACATTATAAACTAAACTATATCTACACTCCAACAGATCTCTTTCAGATCACGTGGGACGTCCGTGAAGATCATAGTCAGATTGCCCATGCCTTTGTAGGTTTTGGAAGAGACAAATCCTCAATTGATAGGCCAGATTTAATGGATTACACTAAAACGCATCATCTAGAAAGCTATATCCAGCATCATCCAGGCTTTATAGGGGAAAAACGAATGTTCGTATTCATCAAAGTGCAAAACAGAGCTGGTCTAGACCAGAAGATTTGGTTTGGACCACTATTAGCCGATGAAACACCACCAGTCTGTCAGGCAATTCCAAAGCCCGTTATTGATAATGATTATGTGATTGCTAAGTGGGACAAGGGAAACTTTTATGACACTGAACAAACAGAAGAAATAGGATCAGTAATGTTTCGTGTGGGTAAGTTGGAATTCAGACAATCCATATGACAAACAACGAGCGGAAATAAAATCAGTAATGTGTCAAATAGGTTAATCAAATGGGAAAAAAACCAGACCCCCAGTACATCGTTATAAATAAGGATTTATGGAGGAAAGTTGAAGTATCGGCAACATTAGTCACATTCAACTTGCAATAAAACTCATCATTACAGATGGCAATGTGTTAACGATCTACGAAAACAAGTTATTAACAATTACTTGCGTGATAAACATGTGAATTCAAAATAAAACTATATCTTAATAAGTGGTGCCCGAAACAAAGAGATAACATTAAGTATACAAAATTGTCGAGCAATTATTTTAAAATAAAGTAGACAAAGAATCTCAAAAGCTAAGAAAGATCGACTGTATTTTCAAGATATTTCTTTTATCAAAGCGAATTGTGCGAGTAAAGAAAACCTTAACAAACCGCGTTTACTTGCAGTCTAACAGCATAATGAAAATGAATAGGCGGTAATATAACACATTACATGCTCTTCATACTTAAAGCATATCATTGTTTTCACAAGATCATAAAATTGTTATTACAAGGCGTATTTCAAAATGTATTCCTTATCAGTACATATAGATCTTACATCCATACACTGGACATTCAATGCTGTCAAAAGCAATTATCGGAGATGGTTCAAGCAATTATCGCAGAAGGTTTTGAAACAATGGTTTGTTGTTTTTCAATCAAAGTAACATATTTTTTGTAATGAACAGATAACAATGGTTTTCAAATGTGTTATATATCATTCTATCAAAGTATCGAAATCAGAAATGTTTATTTTCTTTTAAATGCACAGTTTTACTGTAATTGTAGGCATCGACAATATGTACATCACTCCTTTTCTAGAGTGGAATATAAAATCACACGGTGGGCAGTGTGGTCTACACCACCAGTGCATCAGATACCCAGTTAAAAAGTTACAAGTGTATGATTCTGAGAAAAGTTTAGATTTCCATTTCCAAATGCATGTATATAACTATGCTGGACATTATTGCAGTGTAAATACACCTTCTTTCAAACTACCAAATATAATTCCACCAAGACATGGGACAGTTTTAGATGTTGACCCTGGAGGCAAACAACCTTACCAAGATGTAGATGCTATATATGACGCTAAGGTTTACTGTTTTATAATGAGAGGTTTTACAACTGAAAAAATACAATTTGAAGTAGGAGTCGGTACCATTAACAAATCCGATGATGCAATAGCTTTTCACGTGTTTAACGCAACCAATGAAGAAATAGCCTGCGAATCTATAGGCAAACTTAAGACAGAGAAACAGTATTATGTGACTATCAGGGCATCTTATAAAAGTCAGGAAATCTACAGAGTATCGTCCGATGGGTTTGTAATATTAAACAGTACCACTGTGACGTCATCTATGATGACTTATCATGGTATTCGTTGTGGCAAAGAAAACGAACTTGGAAGCTGGAATATTTCGTTCAAGAAGTCAGAACTTACACTTCATCAATCTCTTCAACGTGGTGTCACTTATTCTTTGCTAACAGATATTGCCTTGTTTGCAATTACAAATACTAATGTGCTTATCAAATATCAAAGGCAAAGTTCCGATCAGATGATAATAACATTCATGCCAATAGTTTCCGTCTCCAGCATTTTCATCGATGTACAGAATATCCATTCGAATCTCTCTTCTTACATCACATTATATCTCCATCAATGTGCTTCGGATATGGGAATACAATCTTCTACAACATTATTACCCGTTTACTGGTCAATTGATGAAAAATACGTAGAATATATATCAAACTATGAGATAGGAATATGCCGAATGTCGGACAATACTACTTGTGAAAACAAGGTATTGTTTGAATCTGTTGGGAAGGACAGATTTAAAAATTTCCTTGGAAATTTTAGGGAAGGGGGTTATACGGTGTTTGTCAAGACATGTTTTGGATTTAATTGTCTTTTACCTTCCATTTCTAATGAAATTATTATTGAAAGAGTAAAATCCACAGACATGAAAGTTCAAGCCTCGCTTGAATCTGCTAATCATTGCATCAATACAACTGTAAACTGGTGGAAACCACACTGCACCGTATTGTACAAGGAAACCTTTCCAGTCGGTTACAGATGGTCATTATTTAAAGATAAAGGCAATACCATGCTTACTGACTGGAAGTCAATCATAAGAAAGGAAGCTTTTACAAATAAAACACATTTAACGGTAAGATGTTCTGTAAGATATGAATTCTCAAAAAGTGATTACAATAAAAAATCAATCTGCGGCACATAGTTCATATGGCAATACTTTATATGGTTGTAATAGTCACAACTAAGGGAGTGGACGGATGTATTTACTCAATTTAAAGAACTACTCCAACTTTGTCGGTATTGTTTATCACAAAGGTGTTTTTTGGTCAACCATAGTTCTTTTCAGTCTCTTTTGGTTATATAGTTCTTCCGATTTGTTTGCAGGCATTGATAAAAATACAAATCTTTACACACACATGTGTGTGGCAACATTTGTATTTATTGTCATCGGTAAGCAAAGAAACATATTGATGTACGTTCTAGTGGTTTTAGTCGTAATTCTATTTTAAATCAACCTTTCATGACTTTTAAAATCAAGAATTAGACCGATAACATGTTATCGATTTAACATAAGTAACTCATCGAGAGCAATTAGTGTTTTATTCGATGTCCTTGTCGTAAACTTTTGTTCTGTCTTATGATTCTACCTTTTTAGCTTTTGAATTAAAACGTCATCAATAACCTTTAACTGCATGCAAAATAATTCTTTAATTTCTGTAATTTTGTTTAATAAAATTTTCTGCAAAAATACAATAGCTTTATCTTTCGTATATTACAGGACTCTGTCTGTCTTACTATACCAGTTTATCTTCACCATAACATATATGTTTGTATAGAAGCATTCTGTCCATCAGGCGATATCAAACGAGCTTGCAACAAATCTACTGTGATAGACGATCCTAACATCTATGATAAAAAGATCATTTACGATCTGAATATGAATAATCCAGTCATTAAGCGCATAGCAGAATTAAAACATAGTTCTAACATTGGAAAATATTTGACAGTTCTTCACGACAATGAATTGGATTTTGCCAAACGGAATGTTAAAATTGCAGGCTTCATTCTCGGTGTATTTGACCTTTCAGTCAGATGGTTTCTTATGAAACATAGTCAAATTCCATCTATTGATTGCTCACATGATTCATTGTGCTTGTTCTCAACAAATACAACAAACGGTTTTGTTAATTTTGATAATCCATATTTAAAGGACAACGGAATATTGAATATATGTGCTTTGACAGATTCGTTTCAAGGTTGTAGTGATGGATTCTTAGTGGATGATGACATACTTAAGGGTGGCAAAGTTTCTATAGTATCAAGAAATGGCTATGTAGTTGAAGGCTCATCAATAAATATTCAGTGGTCAGGATTTTATGGAAATTCAAAAGGAGCAGATATTGGATATCAAAATTCGATAGCATTTTACCAATACGCCATAGGTAAAAACGATAGACTCTGATTATCGAATGTAAAAATGAAGAAAATGATTTGACAAAAGTCGAACCTTCAAAAATTAAAAACAAAAAGAGTAAAACTAAATTAAACGATATACTTTATCAAATTGTTTTAAAGGTGTATAACCAATAGCACCATTAGTAATTGGTGAGGTTTGTGTTGCTCTAAAATTGGTTTTCTAAGAAGTGTTGTGATAGATTTTCGTTTTGTATTATAACTATAAAAAGTATTAAAACATCATTATTTACGTCATGGTGGTCCTCGTCCTCCTCCTCCTCCTCCTCCTCCTCCTCCTCTTCCTCCTTGTAAATATCAAAAATGATATCTTTGTTTTATGCTCACACACAGGTACAAGTGTTGGTGGACATGATGTTCAACCCTTTACCACAACTGGTTTGACAGACTTTGTTGTAGTAACAAACTTGCATTTACAATCAGGACAAGTATATTATGCTTCTGTACGAGGTAAGAATGACACCATAAATGTCTCAAAGTAATTATAGCTTAATTAAGCAATCAATTGCTGCAAACTAATAGTGGCAATAGTCAAGAACCAAACATTATATATAACCATGATAAGCTTTCAGACTTTAGTACGATCTTCATAGATGTTTTAGTGTGCATACATTGAAACGTAACGAAATTGTAAATTAAAAGTTTGAAATTGTTAAATAGATAGTCAGGGACATTACTTAAACAAGTTACTTTTAAAATAACCTAAACAAGGCATGTTGAAAACGAGGCTATTTTAAAAATTTCTTATATAAGTAATTTTTCTAAATATTATTTTCATAGGTGTCCAACTATACAGATTTAAATAGTTTTAACATGTGAATAACATCTGTCTCTAGGATGCTCGCGACAAAAGGGTTTTGAAGCCATTTGAGTCTAAAAAAACAAACGGCCTTGATAGACCAGCTGACATCGATTGATTTATTCACAGTAGCATTTTATCCATAAACAAAGTCTAATTATTTTCTTATATCATAATGAACTCATATTTGATATTGATATAATAACATTTTTGTCGAGCCTGAGACTTTTGTCGCAGAAAGCTCGACATAGGGATAGTGATCCGGCGGCGGCGGTGGCGTCGGCGTTAACTAACTTCTTAAAAGCTATATATTATTGAAGGTGGAAGACTTGGACGCTTCATACTTTGTATATGGATGCCTTATGTTACGAAGTTTCCGTCTGTAACATGTCAATGCTCCTTGACCTCATTTTAATGGTTCAGTGACTACTTGAAAAAAAGTTAAGATTTTTTGTAATGTTAATTTCTCTCTTATAATGAGTAATAGGATAACTATATTTGGTATGTGCATACCCTACAACGGTCTTCATGCCTGTCAGACAGTTTTCACTTGACCTCGACCTCATTTCATGGATCAGTGAACAAGGTTAAGTTTTGGTGGTCAAGTCCATATCTCAGATACTATAAACAATAGTTCTAGTATATTTGGTGTATGGAAGGATTGTAAGGTGTACATGTCCAACTGGCAGGTGTCATCTGACCTTGACCTCATTTTCATGGTTCAGTGGTTATAGTTAAGTTTTTGTGTTTTGGTCTGTTTTTCTTATACTATATGCAATAGGTCTACTATATTTAGTGTATTGAATGATTGTATTTTTCGTTTGATTAATACGACCTTGACCTCATTTTCTTGGATCGTGTTAAGTTTATGTGATAGTTGTAGTAAAGCTTTATACTTAGGACTATCAACATAATATCAATGGTTAGAAAAGAATGTGAGACATTTCAACGTGTGCACTCTTATTAAAAAAAAAACAACATTAAGTGAAACATGTGAATGCTGCTGAAGTTTTTGTTATCAAATTTTCCTGTTATTTTTTTGTATGTTCACATATAGTTCTATTTGACTGCTCCGTTACATAGATCATATCCGTTCCGTTCGATACACCGTAACAAAACATTCAATATTGATTGACATTTCTGAAGCACGTAAGGAAAATATAAACTCTGTGCTGGAGATTGCTGTAGCTAAAAAAAGGTCGGTTATATTATTTAATTATCGGTATTGTAATAACAATATATACATTGCATCTATAGCTTCGCATAGACTTTATATTTCGGTTTGCCCGAATCACTTTTCTGTATTTACTTTTATCAGAAAGAACTACTGAGGACGTTTCAAAAACACTTTCATCAATTAAAAAAATGTGGTATTTAGATGTCAAAATATTATCTGGAGAAATATTTTTGTAATCAAAGATATTTTGGTTTGCTGATTTAGTTTAATATTTTTAGCTTTTGATCATTTGAATCGATCTGTTGAAAAACATTCAGAAGGTGTTATTTACGACAACACCCCACCTTCAACTGGTACAACACAAGTTGAAGGACAACTTAGTTATGTCGTCAAAACTCATCAAATTTCGGTCCAATGGTTTGGAATTGAGGACAAGGAGAGTGGCATAATTCAGTTTGAAATCGGAATAGGTTCTACAAACCACTCTGCAGATATTGTTCCATTCCACGAATCTGAAACATTTGCAGAACTTAATGAAGGCAGTCAATTAGTTGATGGGCATCAGTATTATGCTATCGTAAAGGTACCATACTTGATGAATGTTTATAAAGTAAATTATTTAGTAAAATAATTTGTATTTACTCATTCCGTACTATTTAATGAATGACTGTAATATTTTTTCTGTCTATGAAGAAAAAACATCAAAAATGTGATGCACACTGAAGAACCCGCGTAGCGTGTTATTTTAAAGTGTGCACCACATTTTTTATGTTATTTCGAATAGACAGAAAAAATATTGCAGTAATTTCTTATAATTTGATTCTAAATTCCATTTTAAACCGGAGTAAACCATGAAAAATCGTTGATGACGTCACGGTCACATGACAAAATAATGTCTATGAGCTGATAAAAAAACAACGTCAGCCAATCAGAAAACGTGTTACATCCAAAATTAAATTATATTGACATAAAATAAATAATTATCATAATGATAATAATCAATGTTTAAACTACTGTGAATGAACATTCATGTTCACTGTGCGTTAAAGCTATGTTCGTATATAAAACACTTCGTATTTGATGTAAAAGAAGATAGAAATATTCAGTGATTCTAATTTCGTTTAATGTATATTTTGAATGCATATTTCCAAGTTTTGATATGAATATTCTATTCTTGTAGTCAATAACATTAATCGTGTGTATTATATTATAAATTATTCAACCATTTGAAGGAAAAAAAATTGATTAAAAAGAGATTGTTTTTTTTCGTTACGAAATGTACAATCGATCATTTATGGGTTGATTTGGCATACATAAATAAAATACAAAAATAAGTACGCTATGAACGAGGTTGTTAAATGTGATATATGCTTTTTTGTGCTTCTTTGTTAAATATTTGTTTGTTTTTGTTGTGATTAAGATTGTGACACGGTGTTGACTGCTGTACCCCTGTTTTGACATTTTTACCTTTTATGTCTATTTATTTTATTCACGCATCGTTGTCAATATAATGGAATGTAATGCGACTGTCATACAAGTGAGAGGTTTAGCGCTATAAAACCAGGTTCAATCCACCATTTTCTACATAAGAAAATGCATGTACCAAGTCAGAAATATGACAGTTGTTGTCATTTCGTTTTATATGTTTGTGCTTTTAATTTTGCCATTTGATTAGGGACTTTCCGTTTTGAATTTTCCTCGGAGTTTTATCCCCTTCGTTTTGAGGTTGGGAAAAAACACGTTTTTCAATCAATATGTTTTATTGAACCTTCTTTACAAATTGTATAGATTTTCTCCAACAATAAAAACAGAATTGGAGAATCGATTACGACGTTTTTTTAAATGAAACTCGTTAAAGGGAACATTTACATTTTTGTAATATTTCCTTGAAAAAAAAAAAAAAAAATGATAGCTTTCTTTCGTCACGCTATTTAACTACCTTTCCATTTCTATACACATAGACAACCTTTAACTAAAGTACTAATTTGTATTCTAAAGGAAAACACTATGCACATAATTATGTACATATTTAAAACATTTTCAATTTCTATTTAGGCGACAAATGGAGCAGGTCTTTACTCATTTTCTGTGTCTGCGCCATTCTTAGTTGATAGTACAGCTCCACTGCTTGGCCATGTCATGGATATTTCTACAGAGAACTTGCAAGTTGAAACAGATGTTGTAAGTATACAAAAAAAAGGACTTAACAAATCAGTTCTGAGAGTTCTAAATGTAATAGAAGTTGTTTCAATACTATATCTTGAACGTTTGATTATGTATTTTTATCAGCTTTAATTGCAATTATGTATTATCATACATGTATATGTCTTTTGATTGGGTTAAGCCATTTCAATTGATATTTTATAGTGTGCTTTTCTATATTGTGATGTTACAATATTGTTTCAGATAAGGGTGAAAGTTTGGTACCATTAAAACATTTAAACCAACTGCAATTGTTTGCACCTGTCCTAAGTCAGGAATCTGATGTTCAGTAGTTGTCGTTTGTTGATGTGGTTCATGAGTGTTTCTCGTTTCTCGTTTTTTATATAGATTAGACCGTTGGTTTTCCCGTTTGAATGGTTTTACACTAGTAACTTTTGGGGCCCTTTATAGCTTGCTGTTCGGTGTGAGCCAAGGTTCCGTGTTGAAGACCGTACTTTGACCTATAATGGTTTACTTTTATAAATTTTGACTTGGATGGAGAGTTGTCTCATTGGCACTCATACCACATCTTCTTATATCTATATATGTTTGGAATTATATAATCGGATATTACTGAATGTATCAATACCAATCGTTTGATCTATCAAATCGTTGGAGCATATATTTACAACTGTCATATCCCTGAATTTAGATTTGGTATATACTAACCACTCATGAAAGAGGGGCGAAAGATACCAGATCCTGCTCCAAATGTGGCACCCGTCGTGTTGCTTATGTTATTACAAACCCGGTAAATAGTCTAATTCGGTAGGTCATATTCGTGAAAAGGGAAGGGGATTGTAGCTACGACATAAGGAACATGTCCGATATCATCTGTGAAACGGTTATTCCATAACGGTCAACTAACTCGTGATGGCGTCCGTGAAATTTACGAAGGGATGATTTCAACTTCACCATTTGGAACTCTTGGTTTTCTAGCTTCCTTGTGAGCAGCAATCCTCTATCAAGAAAATCATGATAGGACATACAAGCCAGGGAATATCGTATTAATTGGACGATATATACTCCTTATGCAGGCACTGCTGGAATGTTGCTACATAGAAATGGAAAGTTCACAATTGGGAAGCTGAAATCATCTCTTTTGTCGTAAAGTTTTGTTTTCAACCGACACTCATTGTAAATTTCTAGATGTAAGTCAAGATATGAGGCCGACTTAACTGTATTTGTTGTATCCTTTATCTTTAGTTCGATGAGATATATGCTTTCAACATAGTCACCAAATTTTGAATTATTTTATTGAGAGAACATCATCTATATAACGGAAAGTAACGTTAACGGATATTGTTAACTTCTTATCTTTCTTCATAAGAAGTTCTTGTATGAAGTCAGCCTCATAATAATGAAGAAACAGGTCGGCAAGAAGAGGGGCACATATGGTTCCCATTAGAATGCCGACAGTCTGTTGAAAACCACGTCCTTCAAACGTAACAAATATGTTGTCAATAAAAAAAATCAAGCATCTTGATAATGTCAGTTTCAGAGAAATTTTTGTTTGATTCAGAGTGATTCTTTACAAAGTAGGAGTTATCACTCCCTAAGACAAGATACTTGTGTCTACGTTGACCATTCTTTTTTAGAGAACAAAGCAATACCAACTCTTTATGAATTATCTAGGAATCAGTCAAAATCTAAGTTTTTGTGAATGTTAGTGTTCATATATATGGTCTTCTAAATATTTGGTTCAAGGTCTGTCTTAGACTTGTACTTTATTCGCTAAACCCTAAAGTATAAAATGTAATCAGTCAAAAGTATAAAATGTAATCAGTCAAACTAGACTGTTGAAGTACATTATATTCAACATGTTAAAATGTGAAAATTTTAAATTTTAAAACATATTGTAGACGGATATAGACTACAAGAGAAATACAACACGTATATCTTGTCAGTGGAGAGGATTTCATGATCCACATTCACAGATTGAGAGTTATTATGTTGGACTTGGTTTAACAGCTGGAAATGACGACATAGAACCATTGACAAACGTCGGCTCGGGAAACGGTAAGAACAGATTAATATTATGTTATCCGTAAAATATCAAGGAAATCTGGACCATATATACGTCGCAGATGTTTACGCTACATTTATTGTATAATTTGATTGTTTACAAAACGTAATAAGAAGATTGTAGACATCAAGTGTAGAATTATAACGTTTATTTTTCTGTTTTACAGTGAAGACCTGGACATCAAAGTTTGTACAAGGAGTTAAATATTACTGCATAATGAAAGCCTGTAATGGAGCAAGACTTTGTAGTCATGGTTCATCTAATGGTGTAATTATTGACAACTCTGCTCCTATACCTGGCTTAGTAGTGGTTGGGGAACCTGGAATTCATTCAAGGTACCAGTCTGATAAGTAAGTATTTGTACAAAGACAAACATTATGTTAACTAATTGTAGACCATATGATACAGTAATAGAAAAGTAACCACAAAAGACTCAGGTTTGAATACGATCTGTAAAAATTCTTAATCGCCGACTGTATAAAATAAAGTTTGATAAACGTCTTAGACAACAAGCCAGTGAAGGTATCTTCCATTTCAACAAAACTATAAAAGACAGAAAAAGACTGATGACGCATAACAAGAGACTCTTATTCAGTTGGATTTGTCGACATCCACTCATTTATTTTTTTGTTGCCTTGATTTTTCTTTTTTTCAGTTAATATAAACATCGTGAACTATTTTCGTATTGTAAGCCTTAAGACAGCAAGCAGCTTGATAATGTTTGTAGCGCGACAGAGTTTATTATTACAAAAAAATCTACATTAACTACATACGATTTCTCACTAAAGGTTTGGACGTATACTAGTATATACATTTAAAAGTTGGAGTGATATATTTTGCACAGATAAGAAAATACAGTTGTCGGTAATATTATATTATCGGTCAAGAATTCATCTTATATCAAAATATGAAGAATGTCAATAGGAAAACAATCTTCCACATTCTATGTAAATGAAGTAGATATACACACTACTATTGGTCACTGGGTGGCTTTCAAAATTACGAAAATTAAATATAGTCAGCTTTATACTGGTTGGAAAAGAACAAATGTATATTTAAACTGGACAAATACATGGTCTGATCGATGTACAAAACAATAAAATAATTAACAGAAAGTGACAAACTGATTCACATGCACCTGTCTTTGGACAGACCCTTGCAGATATGTGGCGGGGTTAAATATTTTACTGTAAAATGAAAATAATAACATTTGTTATTACGTGTTTAAATGAACTAATAATATCATTCTAGCTCATCACTTCATGCCACCTGGATTGGATTTGAAGACCCACAATCAGGTATCGACCATTTTGAAGTATACATAGGTACTAGACCATTGTTATGCGATATTATGAACCGCTGGAATGTCTCTTTGTCGTCTGCATTTGTAAAAAGTCAACTCGAACTTAGAAATGATGTACCTATGTATGTGACTGTAAGAGCCTGTAATAAAGTGAAACTATGTGTAGAAAGATCTTCGCCCAGTTTTATAATAGATGACACACCACCGGTATTATTGACCAAACCGCATATAGAAAGTGTAAACGTTTATACTTCTGATTTCCGACACATAATATCAGACCCATCTTTTTTCAAAATATTGTGGAGATTTGAAGATGATCGAAGTCCTATTGTAAGAACTACTATCACGATCAGTAGCAAATTAGACTCCCATATACCAATGTCGGACACTGTTATATCAAATGAAAATGTATTTACTGTGAAATTGGTAAAAGACAATCAACTTCGTTTAGGAGACATTTACGTTATTAAGGTGACAGCTTGCAACGCTGCCTTACTTTGTAGCACTGCACATAGCGAGGAAGTTCTGCTCGATTATTCCCCTCCTCAAATCGGGGGATTTATGCCGCCTTTAAGTTGGGAAGTGATTCATGGGGCTTCTAACTTTATAAGATTTGATCTATCATGGTATGGATTCAGTGATGTAGAGTCCACAATTAAAACTTATTATATATCAATAGGCTATGATTACAATGGTAAAGACATCGTTGGTGCGTATAAAGTTAAACCTGCGCATCAAGATGAGGGACGTATGCAACATACAACCATACACATAGATACTACCAACAATCTACCTGAAAAGATAGTTTTTACTATCTGGGCAGAAAATTATGCTGGCATTTCAAGTTCTCAGAGCAAAATAACAACTGATGTAGTCAGTTTTAACCGAAATTATACCAAGGGAAATCTCGTTATACAGAAACATTCTTGTGTGGCAGAATATTGCAATAAAGACTGCACGTGTGCTGTAGTTGGACAAAAATGTAAAACTGCTTCCAAACCAGAATGTAATATCAAAACTGATAACAATGGTAAAAGTTCCGATAGGGTAAGAATAATTGTGCCGAACACCGATATAGGTATAGTTGGATCGTCGTCATGCCTAAGGTCTGAATGGACAGAAATCCTAAACGAAACAATATGGCGTTTTGAATACACATTTGGTATACAGGACAGTGAGGCAGGAAATGGTATTTTCGTTGTACTGAATGAAAACCCTTGGCAAGATGTCGGAAAGGAGACGAAAGCCATTCACTGTTTGTCTCCGAGCAGTCAACTGAAACATAAGACGAACTATGTTGCATACGTTAGAGCATGGTACTCGTTTACATTATTTAAAATATTCCAATCGGAACCAGTTCAAGTCGATCACACATCACCTGATATTCACAAACGATATTTTGTTATCGATTCCATATCAAACTGTGAGGAGGATGCGGATTATATTATATCAACAGATTCTGTATTATCCTGTTGGGACGGTGTCTTTTATGATGACGAAAGTGGAATCGAGAATTTTATGGTATCAGTTGGAACTTCTCCGTATGGTAAGTTTATATTTTATTCTTTTTATTTTGATATAGATATTTGAAAATTGGTGTAATTCAATATAATTATTCTCTCTAAATAAGGATTTTATTATTATTATTATTATTATTATTATTATTTTTATTATTATTATTATTATTATTAACTCTTAATTTTTTTAAATTTAAATTTGTATCAATTAATATTAAAAAGACGATAAAATCTATTAAAAAAGTATTTTTTTCTCAGCTGATGACATAGTGCGCATGCATGATGTTGGTCACAAGACAAGAGAAGACTGGACAGGCCTTTCTTTTGAACCTGGAACTAGATATTACACAACTGTTAGAGCCATCAATAAAATTGGTCTACAAACTGAACTTAGCTCCGATGGGTTTGTAATTGATGATATCGCACCCATTGCTGGGATAGTTTATAATACTGGTCATCACAGTGATATCATCTACCAGTCTATTAATCAAACAGTTCAGTTTTCCTGGCACGGGTTTGAGGACGAACATTCGTTCATTGATTCATATTACGTAGGATTTATTGTTAATGGCAAAGGTCCAATGGCAAATGATTCAGTTAGTTTTCAAAAGTTAGATATTCACGACCACATAGTGTACGATGGGAAGCTCAACCACGGAGATAAGATTACAGCTACGGTAAAGGCTATTGACAAGGCTGGCCATGAAAGTCCTATTGTGACGTCTCTTCCATTATCAATAGACAATACACCGCCTCAATCGTTTGACTGTAACCGTTATGAGGAAATATATGAAAAACAGATCACTGGCAAAAATAGGTGGTTAGATCGAATAAAATGCCATAAAAACAGTGTTTATAAGATTAAAGTCTCTGTAACAGATGTCACATTTGGCTTTAAAGCTTTATTGACAGTTGGTGATATGTCAATGGTTCTACCTTTTGCACGTAATTCAGATGGTAGTTTGGTAACAGAGTACAACTTCTTTTCATTCGAAACGGCATTGAAACATTTTTTCTTGGATATTTATGGAGCTTTAAAATCAACAGCAATGTTAATAAGCGTATCAACATGTTCCGCAGTAGATACAGAAGCACAGGATAATGATATCGTTATTGCACAACAAATTTCATCAGACAGAATTTCCATTTGTGTCCGAACGATTGATCTTGACAGTGGTATTAAGCAAGTCAACATAGGAATAGGAAGCGTCAACGGTGGGTTCGAACTACAAACGATGAAGTCAGCAATGTCATCATCACATCGTATGCATGACATTGTAGAGGCAAACCTGACACATGGTGAACGCATTTATGTAAAAGCTGTCGTCATAAACCATGCAGGATTACAAACTGAATTTACTTCAAGTCCATTCATTGTCGATCATTCTTCTCCCATAATTCAAAGTTTAGAGTCGTCACTTTTGTATGTAGTTGATGTCCAGAATGACACAACCACCAGTGTACATTCAAGATGGCAAGTTATTGACGACGAAAGTGATGTTAAGTTTTGTGAATATTGTATTGGTACGTAATTAACTGATACCCTTTACATTTCCAGACAATTCAAATTTAAATTTGATTTTACCATTGTGCTAATACAAGATAGACCGTTAATGCAATAATAAATTTTTATACTAATGAATACTAGTTAGTTACTGATTTTAAATTTCTACAATCTAAGAAGGATTTATATAATTCGGTTTCGAAAGATATTTTCATCACTTTTTTCTGAATAATACAAACTTATGATTTATATTTCAGTGAGCAGTGTTTATATTAGATAACATATCAGATATTTTTTATCGAAAGAGGATGCAATGTTTAAAACAATGAAATTTGGTCATATTCATATAATGCTATTAAACTCTACTGCAGTTCTGACATTTTTATTCTTTTATTATTTCAGGATTTTCCGAATCATCCTGCGACATCATTGGTTGGACAGCTACATCATCAATATCTTTATCTCAGTCAAAATATTTTAGGGTCCAACATGGAAGCATAATATTCCTTAAACTTCGCTGTATCAATGGAGTTCAATTATCTGGATATGCATATACCGGGCCGTTAGTGATCTCTTACATTCCACCAGAAAACATTGGTTCAAAAATACAGTTTATAACAGACACTGGAATAAATAACGTAACTGGAGACCAGGAGACACTTACTTTCCGATGGGATTATTTTAATGATCTTTCCGGGATGAAGTCGTATTCATCACGAGTGTCTAACAACAAAACTCTGGTCTCGGACATTCAAATCCGTAACAAGAATTACATTCGAATTAAAAATCTTCATTCGAAAAACAAGGAGGCATACAGCGTTGACGTCATAGGAACAAGTGTTGGAAACATATCTAGCAAAGCCATACACGCATCAGTTAGATGTGATTATACTAAACCATCATTATCAGGTAAGGTTTATGAATATGTTAATAACATCAACGGTACCAATTGTTTGGTACCAGATGAGAGTTTCAACAATAAATGCTCTCTGGAGTGATGCCCGAGGCAAACATCTGTAAGAATCCAAAACCAATTAAAAAGATAAAGAGATTACATGCACTTCATTCAAACCTCGGTGGATAGTTGTCTTATTGGCAATCATACTACATTTCTTCTTATTGTCGAGCCCGCGACTTTTGTCGCAAAAGCGAGACATAGCGATCCTACATTTCGTCGGCGTCGTCGTCGTCGTCGTCGTCGGCGGCGTCCACAAATATTCACTCTGTGGTTAAAGTTTTTGAAATTTTAATAACTTTCTTAAACTATCCTGCATTTCAACCAAACTTGGACAGAAGCTTGTTTATGATCATAAGATAGTATCCAGAAGTAAAATTTGTAAAAAAAAATCCTGTTTATCCGTATTTTACTCATAAATGGACTTAGTATTTTTGCCAGTTAACATTACATTCACTCTGTGGTTAAAGTTTTTCAAATTTTAATAACTTTCTTAAACTATCCTAGATTTGTACCAAACTTGGACAGAAGCTTGTTTATGATCATAAGATAGTATCCAAAAGAAAATTTTGTAAAAAAAAAAATCCTGTTTATCCGTATTTTACCCATATATGGACTTAGTTTTTCTGCCAGTTAACATTACATTCACTCTGTGGTTAAAGTTTTTCAAATTTTAATAACTTTCTTAAACTATCCTGGATTTGTACCACACTTGGACAGAAGCTTGTTTGTGATCATAAGATAGTATTCAAAAGTAAATTTTGTTAAAAAAAAATCCTGTTTATCCGTATTTTACTTATAAATGGACTTAGTTTTTCTGCCAGTTAACATTACATTCACTCTATGGTTAAATCTTTCAAAATTGTAATAACTTTCTTAAACTATCCTGGATTTTTACCAAACTTAGACAGAAGCTTGTTTATGATCAAAAGCTAGTATCTAGAAGGAAATTTTGTAAAAATTTATTTCCTGTTTTTCCGTATATTACTTATAAATGGACTTAGTTTTATTCCAGTTAACATTACGTACAGTCTGCAGTTAAAGTTTTGAAAACATTTATTAGATTCATAAACCTTCTTGGATTTTTACCAAACTTAAACAGAACTTCTTACAATCAAATGATAGTATCTAGAGGAAAATTTTTAATAATTTTTTCCCCATTTTTGTTGAGCCTGTGACCAACAGCAAAAGTAGGCGAGATACTGGGTTCCGCGGAACCCTTACGATTTTTTTTTTATGTTATAAAACCAAAAAAGCATAAGATATCAAATATTTTTTTACGTGCATTTAGGATCGCTGGCGAATCAAGATTGCTGGTACATTATCAGTCAAAAGAGTACAATCATTTAAATAAGCCTCTGCAACGGTATTTACATGTTGTTCATATAGTGAATTTAAGGTGAAACAAAACTAATTTAATCTTAGAAATTTTTGTACAATTCTGTTTGGAACTATCGGTTCATATATATTTTTCATTGTAGGGAAAGGGTTTGACCATGGGGTCAACTACATAGACTGGAAGGAAGTGTTTACGTCAACGGATGTCAGTTCGTTCCAGGTAGCAATAGGCTCTTCAAAAGGAATGACAGATATTATTATGCCAACTACAACGACCAGACCCAGAATCACCACTGATATACCGCACGAGTATCATGAAATAACTGCTGTTGTGACTGCCACATCGATCACTGGAATGTCAACCACGTATACACAAACTATTAAACTTTAGAGAGTCAAACAAATGAACAAGTTTAGATTAACCCAATCAAATTATTGCTTATTGTTAATGGATAATTTGTCGCTCAATATTTGATGTAGTACATAGTTCCGTCCCTTTGTTTATACAATAAACAGGTATAGCAGTATATTTAAAATCAGTTGATAGATTTACTATCCAACATATTCTTCCATTAAACATGTTAAAACATCCTATCAGTAAAACAAAAGAGTATACATCAGCTAGCTTATGTTAAACCCGTGTCAGATATCAGATATAACTTCAACCACGTAACGCCTTTTAGAACAGTCTGTATCATCATATATATATATACCTACGTACATACTTTCTGCGTGTTGTGTTCTTGAATAGTTTATCTGTACTTTGTGTCGTTTGTCTGTGTTCTTTTTTTAAAGGATGCATAAATACCCTTTTCAACTAGTCTGAGTTTTCATACTTTTAATCAATCTGATGAATTAAGCCCCTTTTAACTGATTTTTATATTTTTTTCTTGTGATTTACTGTGTAACCGCTCTCTGTGTGATATTAAAAGAGGGTTGGTGTCACATTTATATAATGTATAAAGACACGCAAAGTTTATTTGTTTTGTGTGAAGTGCTTTTTTGGATATGTTACCAATATTTCATGATCTTCTTCTTTGTTTTAACATTTTGTAATTAACAGTTCACGATTGCTATTGGGGCGTCCAAAAACTTTATTTATTTACCTTTATGAGGGACAGTATAGATACAAAAAAGCCAAATATGATACATAATTGAATATCTGAGGAGCTACTTGTATATGATAAATTTAGACCGAAAAAATAGCCTAATCTACATTCACCATGGTTTTGTTTTACTACTGGTGGGCTATAAGTCCCCGAGGGTATCATCAGTATATCTTTTGTTCATGCTTTTTTACTAACATACTTTCCATGATTGTTTGTTTCTGATATACTGTATTGATAATTAAAAAAACATGGTGAATGAAGATTAGGCTATACTTTCCGGTCTCAATTGATCATATACTAGTAGCTCCTCGTGGATTCAAAAGAATGACAAATGCAATAACACACAGTACAGAGAAACGCATAAATTGATAATATAATTGTGTACATGTAAACATGTAAACCGCAGAGTAACAACGGCCATCATCCTTTAACAACAGCACACTACAAATAAAGGCAACAGTAGTATACCGCTGTTCGAAAGTCATAAATCGATTGAGAGAAAACAAATCTGGGTTACAAACTAAAATTGAGGGAAACACATCAAATATAAGAGGAAAACAACGAAACAACAGAAATACTAAAGTACAACAAAAAACCAAACGACAATGCAACACACACAGAAACGAACTATAAGATAACAATGACCATTTTCCTGACTTGGTACAGGACACTTTAAGAAAAAAATGGTGGGTTGAACCTGGCTTCTTTGTGGCTAGCCAAACCTTCCGCTTTCATGGCAATGTTAAATATAACACTAAAATGACAACATCACATGACAGGACTTCATTACAAATAAACATTCAGGATAGAGAAATACACAAATTAACAATACAATAGAACATTACGACATGCTAATAGTCATCAAAGGTACCAGGCTTATAATCCAACATGCCAAACGCGGGCCTCGTCCACACAAGACCCTACTATACAAACAGCGACTTATTTTTGTGACGTATATATAATCTTAAAATTGACACCATTATATGAAACAAGACAATTAGTACTTGTCCAAATATTTATCCTGATTATGACGGTCTTGACAAGCTATAATAAATTATGTGGTGACGACATCACAATTATTTCGACTAACACAATAATTTATCCACGAAAAATGGAAATTAACTCGACCATCGTCACAAATAAGACATATGTGAAATATACCGAAAATACAGAATTCTAACCACAAACGATAAGGTCGACATGACACAATATCCAAACGAACACATTCAAGAAATACAACTATATACATGAATGTTAGATGTATAAATACCGAGACACGTCGTATAGCAATGCAAATTTAAACTCGACAAAACAGTCATATTCGGGAAATGTCACGTTCTGTACGACGACATAGATGCTAAACCACAAGACGTGGTAAAAATTTTGTTAGTCAGTTTAGACACAGATACATAGTATAGATCAACCAATTCGTAATGGCGTCCATAACATTTACTGACTGTAATGTTTCCACATTTTTCCTCCTCATAACTCTATTGGAGCAGTATCTGAGTAATGAGCACACATCTGTATATGAATTCCGTGTCGTGAGAACATGACTGAGCATATCGAATCAATTGAGATATGTAAACACCATACGACGTAGCAGAGGGTATGTAATATGGGTAATTAAGTAAAATCATTTTTAGTTTATCTGAAAGTTAATGTAAAGAATTTTGCAAGGTGCTTTTTGTTTTTGTCTGAATGAACTCTGCCTCATACGTGTATAAAAACAAATCGACCAGAAGGGGGTGCACAATAATACCAATTGGAATACCGACTTTCTGATCAAATTTCAATCGTCACAAATATATTGTCAATTAAAAAGTCCAGCATTTAGATAATATTATCTTCAGTGTATGTTTTCAAAGAATCAGTGTGGTTCTGCGCAAACTAATAATTATTATAACCCAAAACATATAAATATCTACAATTTCCATTTTTATAGAAAAAGCTCTGTTTAATGAGATAGTGAAGACGATCTGTCAATTTAGCATGGAGAAAAGTAGTGTAAAGAGTAGAAAAATCAAAGGTCTTAATGTGGCTGAAAATTAGACAGATTGCGATCTAAGATTTAGCAGTAGATCTTCTGAATTGATTTGAGTATCCACATCTGATTGATACCACTGATTGAATATATCTCATAACAATATTTTTTAAAGTCCATCTTTTACTGTAGAAAGAAAAGTAGTCAGCACCTTAGAAAGATGTTAAGTCAAACATTATGATGATCCAGCTATGGATAGTTTTTTATACGGAG